GCTGCCGATGCCAGCCTTCAGCGGCTTGAATTCATCCATTTGCACAAAACCGCCGCACTGTTGGAAGCGGCGGTAGTTCTTGGCGCCATCCTCGGTGGCGGCTCCAATGAGGATGTTGAGAAACTGAGAAATTTCGCGAGGTACATCGGATTGCTATTCCAAGTTGTGGATGACATTCTGGACGTAACAAAATCTTCAAACGAATTGGGGAAGACGGCAGGGAAGGATTTGGTTGCTGATAAAGTTACTTATCCTAAACTCATGGGGATTGAGAAGTCGAGGGAATTTGCTCAAAAATTGAACAAAGATGCTCAAGATCAGCTCTCAGGGTTTGATCCAGATAAGGCTGCTCCATTGATTGCTTTAGCTAATTATATTGCTTATAGGCAGAATTAGTACCATTGATCTGCTAAAATTGCATTCATAGTGAATATTGAGGCTTCTTAATTTGAGTTTGATGCAATTTCTTCTTGAAATATAGATTCTGGAGTTGGTGCCCTGTAGTTTTGGTTTTAAGTTCAACCCATTTGTATCATCTAGTGTTGTATGAATATTGATAAAAGCTGCCAAAATTCTCTATTCTTGTATTAAAACGGTCCCTCAGACACATCATCAATGATCTTATGTTAAGTAATAGCAACATTATAGATTTCAAACCTTTTTTACCATATATAGAATATAAAACATTCTGAAATTTGTCTCAAGTTTGTGTCCAAAACTTTTCTGCAGTTTTGGCAAATGATGTTTGCAGATGGTTCTTTTTGTTAGGGAAATGCAAACATCCTTACCTTGTTATGATTAAATGCTGAATGGTTAAAATATTTTTGAGCTATCTTCGCTCTTCTTGTTATCACCTGAAATTCTTAAGCTAACAATATAAGGTTTCTGCTCTTGTTTGTTATAGTATAGTGCTCAGAGAAATATTTTATTATCTACAAATTCAATTTTTTGTGCATAGAAGTACAGAAAGCAAGCCACGGGAGGATCGCTCGGTTGGAGGGAAGTCTTATTGTAAATGAAATACTATTTGAGTTGTCGCTCTCTGAAGAGCTCAAGTYTGCATTCTGTGTTATATGTAGTTTAGGTGATGGTTGCAGGAGTTTAGTGATTGAATCATATACTGAATACAATTACTTTGAATTGTCTGAATAATGGGTATGTATGTTCTTTTCCTTATCTTGTTATGAATGGAGCTCATTTTATTATTGATCGAACTAATGTTGATTGAGAAATCTCTAGATCAGATAATGAGGAAATGTGTTCCGCTCATCAAATGATAAAGCTGGATAAAAGGCAAGTTTGGGTTTGATTTTGTAAGAATGAAAGTGAATAATGGATGTTCTAAACAGTACTTTTCTTCCGGAGTCTCGACATATCAATGTTTATACGCACACATATATATGTCGATGAAGTAAGGAACGTCTATTTGGGAAGTAGATACCTTTGAGTCTTTGACACATCTTCATCTTTGAATTTGTATTATCAACTTGTTGCCTACAATGTGGATGGTTTGTATGGTTTGCCATTGCTGTCCTTTTACAGAATACATGAAACACTGGTTGCCGATTTCTTATTTTCTTTCTCAAATCTAAGTTTTTATGTATTGTTATTTGGCATCCTTTATAGAATGATTTTTGCAGCAATTTTCTAAGTTGAACGTGAAGTATTAGTTTGTAAATTAATSTTGAATCAAGATCCATATTTGACTTGATGGGTGGCTCAAATCAAATCCAACAATCAGTCTAACTTCAGTCGAAGGCATCAGGTATTACTACTACTTGAATTTTCTCACTGTTTATTGTCTGGTTTACTCATGTCCTTCTACAACCTTAAAATTGCCGAAACTGGCTCGATAACTCATAGATGTAAAAGGTGGGGGGAATTTGAAAGTTAATTATTTTGGATAAAAGTTAAATTATAACAGAAGTGAAGCTTGCCTAAAGCCTACAATGGTGACAGGTCCCATGGCCATGGCTCCCACCCTGTCCTTCCCCTCTAACTCCATCCTTATAAGTTCAAGATGCCATAGATGTCCCATTAATTATCTGTAGAACTAACTGCCGGGCCATAAACTATACTCAGATTTACAATTTTCTAGAGTAAAGCCAAATGAGTTCACTTTTGCAGCTTTGATTACAAGCGGCAGCAACCTAGAAAGTCTCCAGCATGGCCAACAGTTCCATAATCAAGTCATGAAGATGGGTTTAGGACTAGACCCTTTCATCACTAATGCCCTTGTGGATATGTATGCCAAGTGTGGGAGCATGGGAGAAGCTGAAAATATGTTTTACTCCTCGGTATGGAAAGATACGGCATGCTGGAACTCCATGATTTCGATGTATGCAGCACACGGAAAAGCAGAAGAAGCTCTTAAGATGTTTGAAACAATGATGAGAAATGACATAAATCCCAATTATGTCACTTTTGTGAGTGTGTGCTATCAGCTTGTAGTCATGTAGGGCTTGTTGAAGATGGACTAAAACATTTTAACTCAATGGCCAGATATGAAATTGAATCAGGAATGGAAAATTATGCTTCAATGCCAAAAGTCTTGTTCAGGGCTATTTGGAAAACTAAAAGTCCAAAGAAGGTAAGCTTCTTTTGTTGGATTCTTATTTAAGGGAAAGTAAACACGATCGCATGTTCTACAAAAGAAGCTCCCTTGTTCCAGCCTATTGCCATCTGTTTGTGCCTTCTGTCAGTCCAATTCTTGTATGTAGTTTTCACTTCAATTATCTTTCTCATCCAACATGAGTTGTGGTCACTGATTGATAGCTAACTTATCTTGGTTACATTCATCACTAAGCAATAGATTTTATTATTTTTAAATAAATTTAAATCCATTTAAAGAATTGGGTTGTATCCAAAATTATTCAAACCCAAATGTTCACACAAAATTAAACAGAGAAAGAATCAGAAGATAAAGACTAGAGATTGAATAACTATACAACATATACAAAGAGTCAATTATGGACCAAATTCTATCAAGACTACAATATACATTGAAACATCACAAACTACGAATAACTCTAAATATCCTAAACTTTTTAATCCCTCCTCTATCAAAACAAAAACAAGGAAGCAAGTCATTGAGTCTATTCTCAATCAAATTCTACCAAACCTACAATAGGTAAGTAATATCCCAAAATACAAATAACTCAAAATATCCTAAACTTTTTAACACTCCCTCCTACCACKGAAACAAAAAGAAGAAAACAAGTGTTTCAGTCAATTCTCAACAAAATTCTACCAAGGCTACAATATGGATGGAAATATCAAAAACTACAAATAACTATAAATATCCTCAACTTTTTAACCGYTCCCCTCCTTGAAACAAAAACAAAAAGCAAATCCTACGATATATGCATAATGACATCATAAAAATTCAAGTAACTCCGAATCTCCTAAACTTTTAACCCGTGCACACAAAAAAACAAGAAAGCATGTCTAAATTTGTAATCAACCAAGTTTACGATACATTTACAACATCATAACAACGAGAGAAATCTAACTCTTCTCAATGAAAAAGGTTTATTGAATTCAAGTTTACTATTTTGACAACTTCGGAATTCACTGGTTGTCCATTCACAAAGTAAGCAGATATATTCTCTAACTATAGYTGCAGTTAAAAGAATTCATAGAGTAATTTCCAACAAGATCATCATTGCGTTGTCAAAATACAAAGCTCAACAAGTTTTCCAAATAAAGACTAACACAATTATTTATATCTTATTAAATTTTCAAATGTATTATTTTATTGATCGGTCGGGAAAGAAAAACTAAAAGAGAAAAAAAAATGATAAAAATGATAGCTGAGTTCTAACCTATCAAACAATCAATTTTTCTTAACACTTCGTTRGCAGCACCAACAATCTAAATGCAATGACACATATTATCTTACCAAATACAAAAAACATTYGAACCACAATATATTTTTTTAAGTCTCCTTATCGAAACAAAACTCATTACCAAAAACCCTTGCAAAAGTCTCAATAATCAAGAGAAACTCAATACAAATAGCTTCCCTATCAAATCATGTTGTCTTATTGAAGTTTAAGAAAATTAAGAAAATCAGTTCAATATCTCTAAGCATCACTATTCAAAAATTAAGTTACATAAAAAGAGTTATAGACTTATGCGTGAAGGATGACAGAGCCAAGTCAAATCATATCATTTTATAAACGACAAACATCAAAAAAACTAATAAAGAAAGAGGAAAATAAACAAATAATAAATGAAACAAGAAATGAGATTTGAGATTTGAACATTACCAACTATGTTTGGGAGTGAACTTCAAAGAGCAGCCACACTTRGAGCCTACAACGAAGTACTGCCTAAGTTTCTTAAGGTAGGGATGCTTCTCGAGCTAAAAGAATAAAAGAAGAAAAAGAGAATTATGGTATGTTTTCTTATCATTAATAATGATGATTTTGRAAAATCAAATTCTCTTTTTTCAAAATCGTTCATTCTATCATGACTCCCGGACAGATCCTTTATCTGTATGCATAGTTGATTTTAYTGGAAACGCTATACTTTACACCTTGAATTGAGGATCGTGAAAGATTTGGAACATTTCTTTAATATTCAAACCAGTAGTGCCCAACATTTTAAACATGACTTTGAATATTCATAATATTTCTCTTTAAATAATAATATAATAAGGTTGTGATTTGTACACGTGTCACGCATTTGTTTTTTTAACTTCCCTGGAAAGGCGGTCCACATGGTTTAGCTTTTGAAATTAGAAAATTGGGAAATCCTATTCTTAAAAAATATAAGGATACCTTTGAATTCATTTCTTTCTTTTTTTTCGTTTAATTGTTTAATTTAATCTTTTATTTTCTGCTTTATAAAAACGTTTATGAGATTCTAAGTAAATTAAAAAATATAGTATCTAAAAATAGATTTATGTTTCAAAATCTCATTGTATTTTTTAGCTCAACTACTTTTTCTTTATATATTTCTCTAATAAATTTCTATCTAGTTCTAAAATTTTTTCCTACCTAAATTTCTCTCTMTAAAAAAATAGTTCAAAAGTAATGTAATAATAATGTGATAATATATTAAATATTCTATCCCACAACTTAAAATTATCTAAGTAACATTTTTCTTATCCCAAAATCCTACCAAAAGCAAGAAATATTAATAAAGAAAAAAACAACAAGAAATATTGTCAGCTAAACCTCGCTGAATAAGTAGAGAAAAATAGAGGAGAAGAGAATATGAAAAACAGCCTATCTCKATGATGAACAACTACCACCCACTTGATTCCAACATTTCCTTCTAACATTTTGTTAATGTTTTTGTCTAGACGATTGAGAAGTCATACACATTAACGATTTTGTGTAATGTAGGATGTAAATTGATTCTTTTAATTAATACAATTATTAAACCCAATTTTGGATCCCTTTTACTTTTCAAATTGTTCCATTTTACTATTAAAATAGCAGCCTTTGTCAAGTTTTATGACATTGAAAACAACTAGGTACTGCCTTTTCTTTTTCTCCAACCTTATTCTTTGCATTTTTCCACTTGTTGTTTTGTTTCCCTTTACAAATAATCCCTTGGCATTGGAACTCTCCCTTTTCTTRGAGAGAATTTCCAATTCTTTACTTCTTGTGGCAGAAATTATCGCATGATATCATCTCCCTCCCACATTTGACAGCAACTTTTATTTCTTTATACGCATTTGGA